ACCCACTTAAAATGTACAGTTCAATGGTTTTTAGTATATTCACAAAGTTTTGCAACCATCAGCATAATCAATTTCAGAACATTTTCATTACTCCACAGCAAATCCCCATACCCATCAGTCAATGGCTTGTCTTTTCACTGCTCATTTGCTCCCAAACCTCCTCTCCCCCAACCCAGCCCACAGATACACTTTCCGTCTCTATAGATTTGCCTTTCTGGACATTTAATGAACCATATAATATGTGGTCTTCTGTGTCTGACTTTTTACAGATCGCATAATGTTTTCTTTTTTTCTTTCTTTCTTTTTAAATACCACAGACTGGATGGCTTAAATTATAGACATTTATTTCCTCATAGTTCAGGAGTCTAGGCGTCCATGGTTTCTGGTTGAGGCCTCCCTTCCTAACGTGTAGACAGCCACTCTTCTCTCTGGATCCTCATCTGGCCTTCCCTCTGTGCAGGAAGGGGGGCGGGCACTCTGGTGTCTTCCTCTTCTGGTAAGGACATCAGTCTTTTTTTTTTTTAAGATTTTATTTATTTATTTGAGAGAGAGAATGAGATAGAGCATGAGAGGGGGAAGGGTCAGAGGGAGAAGCAGACCCCTGCTGAGCAGGGAGCCCGATGTGGGACTTGATCCCGGGACTCCAGGATCATGACCTGAGCCGAAGGCAGTTGCTTAACCAACTGAGCCACCCAGGCGCCCCAGATCACATAATGTTTTCAAGGTTTATCCATGTTTTAGCATGTATCAGTACTTCATTAGTTTTAAAACTTTTTAAAAAAGTTTTATTAATTAAGTAATCTCTACACCCAACATGGGGCTCAAACTCATGACCCCAAGATCAAGAGTTGCAGGCTCCTTTGACTGAGCCAGCCAGGTACCCCGTTACTCCATTCTTTTTTATGGCTGAATAATATATACCACATTGTATTTATCTACTCATCAGTTGGTGGACACTTGGGTTGTTTCCATTTTTCATCTATTATGAAAAATGATATCAACATTCATGTACAAGGTTTTGTCTTTAAAGATTTATTTAATTATTTGGGGGGTGGCAGAGGGAGAGGGAGAGAAAGTCTTAAGCAGACTCCTTACTGAGTGCAGAGCCCCATGTGGGGCTCAATCTCACCACCCTGAGATCATGGCCTGAGCCAAAACCAAGAGTCGGATGCTTAATCAAATGCACCACCCAGGTGCCCCTCATGTACAGATTTTTGTACAGATGTATGTTTTCATTTCTCTTGAATATATGTCTACAAGTGAAGTTGCTGGATCATCTGATAACGCTATGCTTAACTATTTGAGGAAATGTCAGGCTATTTTCTAAAGGGAATGCACCATTTTACATTCCCACTGGCAGTGTATAAGGGTTCAAATTGCTCCACATCCTTGCCACATTTGTTATTATCTGCCTTTTTATATTCTAGCCACCCTAATGGGTATGACCCATGTAACTTTTAGTGACATGGAAAATGTCCTTGGTATAACGTTAGATTTCTTTTTTTTTTTTTTAAAGCAGGCTTTGGAACTGTTTATACAGTATAGTCTTAACTCCTAAAATATATGTGTCCACAGAAATCAGACCAAGAAATAATCTATGAAAATATTAATATGGTTATCTGTGGGCAATTTGGGGTGATTTTTCTCCTTTTTAAGTTTTTGATAATGTGCACATTTTTTAAAGATTTTATATAATATAAATAAAATAATATATATTTATATAATATAAATAAAGATTTTATTTATTTATTTGAGAGAGAGCACACACATGATGGAGGGGGGCAGAGGGAAAGAGAAGCAGACTCCCCACTGAGCAGGGAGCCTGATGCCAGTGATCCGGAGCTGAAGGCGCCCTGTGAACATGTATTGATAAGAAAAAATATAATATTATACAAGAAGGTAAAAGAAAATCAATAAGGGGCACCTGGGTGGCTCAGTCAGTTAAGCATCTGCCTTTGGCTCATGTCATGATCCCAGGACCCTGGGATCATGCCCCGTATCAGGTTCCCTGCTGAGTGGGGAGCCTGCTTCTCCCTCTTCCCCCCTGCTCGTGCTCTCTCACTCTCGCCCTCGCTCTCTCTCAAATAAATAAATAATTTTTTTTTAAATTTTAGAGAGAGAGTGAGAAAGAGCATGACAGGGGAGACGGTCAGAAGGTGAAGCAGACTCCCCATTGAGCAGGGAGCCCAATGCGGGACTCGATCCCGGGACTCCAGGATCATGACCTGAGCCGAAGGCAGTTGCTTAACCAACTGAGCCACCCAGGCGCCCAAACAAATTCTTTTTTTTGAAAAAGGAAAAAAATCAATAAATATTAGAAAGAGATAATGCAAATGAATTAAAATAAAACATTCAAATGTATTGAATGAAGCTGATTACATGCCCAGTATATAGGATCTTGGGCAGTTGGAGGGAGGGTCTGAGTGGAGATGGGAGAGACAGAAGAATCAGGCCACTGATTCCAGAGTGAGGGTGTCCAGAAAAGGAACATCACTCTCAGTGGGAATCAGGGAGAGCTTCGTGGAGGAGACAACCCTGAAGCCAGCTGGACTCTGAAGTAAGAAGCAGATTTAGATTCACAGCTGTGGCAGGGGGTGCAGATCTGATATGTCAGCACAGTCCTGACCTCTCTGCACATAGGGCACTGAGGTTGCAGACAAGGGCTCCGATGTCCCAACAGGCAGAGACAGTGGCCTGCACAAGCCTGGCTTTGCCCTAACTTGGGGTGACTGACTTTGCCCAGTGGGCTAAGGAAAGAGTGTCCTAATCTGAAATGGCCATGATAACCTCCCTTAAGGGTTATTGTGAGCACTGAGTGAGATAAGAGTGTGGGGTAGCCTGCAGCACAGGCCTGGCCCACAGTGGTGAATGATTTGTTCCGAGAGAGAGGCGAAGTTGATTCTAAGGATAGGATGATGATGGTTGGGGGGTGGAGGAGGGGTGTTCCGGCAAAAGCAGCAGGGATCCTGAGTCCTGTCTAGGGGTGGAATGTTGGAGGGAGGGGCACCAAGCCCTTTTACAATAAAGGAGTTACCCCAGTAAAGACACAAATAGCCTCCTGGGAGAGAGGCCAAGCCCCTATGGTGTCTACGTTTACCAGCTAAGCCCAAAGATGGCAGAACTGACTCAAGGTCACATAGGGAAATCCTGGCCTCCCAACTGAGGTCTCTTCTGCAGGAAGAGGCCCCCAGGGGCTGCAGTGGGATTAAGGGATTTGCATCTGAGCTCTGTGCATCCTCCCCAGCCACCTCTCAGGCAAATGGCCCCCTGTGATCTTGGAGTTGAAATAAAGCCAGAGGGCAGTTTTATTTTCTTCTTTTACTCCTCTATTTCTTCCCAGCCCTCCACAATGGGTATGTGCTACCTTTGTCACTGTACTCAGTGAAATATGTTACTGTTACTGTTTGTTAAAGAACATTTCCAGGACAGCTTGCTTAGACTTTGAGAAAAGTCAGTGTTACACAATTCTGTAACTTATTGTCAAATGTTTCTGGAGGGAAGAAAGTATCCAGGGAAATAAAGCAAATGTGGCAAATGATTAACAATTGATGCACTGTCAGCAAAGAGTATGTGGGTGTTAATGGTACTACTCTTTTAACTTTTCCATAGACTTGACATTTTTAAGAGAAGGTTTTGGAGAAAAAAGGCAAAATATAAAATACATACAGTGTGAACCAAAACTTGGAAGGAAGGAACACCAAGCAAAGAAACAAAATCTTTGTGACCTTGATTTAGGTCAAGAGTTTGTAGATACAATACCAGAAACATGATTCAGAAATGAAAAATATTGATAGGTTGGACTTCATCAAAATAAGGAACCTCTGCTATTTGAAAGACACTGTTAAGAAAATGAAAAGACAAGCCATTGACTGCTGACAACTATTGCAAATCACACATCCAAGAAAGGAGTTGTATCCAGCACATTTGTAATGAAACTAGAAATGAGAAACAGAAAAATAATTGGAAAAGTCCAAAATAAGTGGAGATTAACACACTTCCAAATAACACATGGATCAAAGAATCTCAAGAGAAGTTTAAAAATATTTTTGATTAAAAAAAATATGAAAAAAAAACTTACCAAAATCTGTGGGATGCAGCGAAAGCAGTGCTAGAGGGAAATCTATAGCATTGATATATTAGAAAGGAAGTGAGATCTAAAATCTGTATTCTAAGTTTCAGTTTAGGGGCGTCTGGGTGGCTCAGTTGGTTAAGCGACTGCCTTCGGCTCCGGTCATGATCCTGGAGTCCCTGGATCGAGTCCCACATCGGGATCCCTGCTCAGCGGGGAGTCTGTTTCTCCCTCTGACCCGCCCCCCTCTCATGCTCTCTCTCTCATTCTCTTTCTCAAATAAATAAATAAATAAAATTTTTAAAAAAAGTTTCAGTTTAGGAAACCAGAAAAAGAAGAGCAAATTAAATCCAAAGGAAGTGGAAGAAAGAAATTGGAGGAATTAGAGCAAAGGGGCACGTGGACAGTTCAGTCAGAAGAGCACGCGACTCTTGATCTTGGGGTTGTGAGTTTGAGCACCGTGTTGGGTGTAGAGATTACTTAAAAATAAAAATCTTAAAAAAAAGAATTAGAGCAAAAAATAAATTAAAAGGAAAACAGAAAATCAATAGGGGGAAAAATCAATGAACTCAAATCCTGGGTTGTTGAAAAGATCAGTAAATTGATACACTTGTAGCTAAGCTAACCAAGAAGAGAAGAGAGAGGCCATAAATTACCAATATTAGAAACGAAAGGGAGGAATTCACTACAGATTCTAAGGACATTAAAAGGATACCCAAGGAATATTGTGAACAACTATGTCCACAAATTTGATAACCTAGATGAAATGGACCAATTCCTTGAAAGATCTGAATCGGCCTATATTCAAGAAATTGAATCAATACTTAATAACCTTTCTAAACAGAAGACAACAGGCCCAGATGGGTTCACTGGTGAATTCCACCAAACATTTAAGGAAAGAATTATACCAATTCTGTACAATGTCTTTCAGAGGATAGAAGCAGAGAGAATGCTTCCTAACTCAGTCTGTGGGGCCAGCATCATCCTAATACAGAAACCGGACAAAGACATCATAAGAAAAGGAAAACTACAGACCAATCTCTCTCATGAGCACAGATGCAAGATGCTCAAACACATTATTCATTAGTTATGAGGGAAATGCAAATTAAAACCACAATGAGATGCCACTACACTTCTATTAGAATGGCTAAAATTTTTTAAAGTTATCGTATTGAGTGTCAGTGAAGATATGGAGCAACTAGAACTCTCAGACACCATTGGCCAGAAGGTAATATGGTACAACCACTCTGGAAAACCTACCATATAACCCAGCCATTCCACTTCTAGGCATTAACTCAGGAGAAATGAAAGCATATGTCCAAACAAAGACTTGTATGCAAATATTCACAGCAGTTTTATTTGTAGTATTTCAAACAACAAGAAACAACCCAATGTCCATCAGTGGATAAATGGATAAATGAAGTGTGGCACATATAAACAATGGAATACTACTTGGCCATAAAAAGTAATGAGCTGGTGGCCAACTTCCGGATGGTGGTGCAAGGAGCCCTGCAGAGCCTCTTCCCAGTGGAACAACCATAATTGTTAGAAATGTTATGTATATATTCCCTAGAAATCGTCCTAAGAGCATACAGCAAATGAAGGAATGTTCATTCAGGAAAATCTACTAAATCTTGGTAAGAAAAGTGAGTTTGTAGCATTTGAGCCATGCTTCACTCTCTCCCTGCCCCCATCACCTCAACTGGGTGGAGGCTCCGATGGAGGCAGGTGAAGCTAAGAACACCGGGTTCCTTCCCCTTCCAGCTCCCAGAAGCAGGTTCTGTTATCTTCCTGGGAGAGGAAGGCCGCCAGCATTTCTCATCCTCTCAGCTCTGTGCTGCGGGGACAGTTGGTGCCGCATGCAAAAGAACACCGCTGAATGCATCCTTTATACCACGTAACAAAAGTTAATTCAAAATAGATTAAATACTGAAATATAAGAGCTAAAAGCTTTATGCTTTTAGAAGAAAACCCAGGAGTAAGTCTTTAGGACCTTGGATTTGGCAACAGATTCTTAGATAGGACACCAAAAGCACAATTGACAACAACAAGAATATACAAATTGAACATCATCAAAATGAAACCTGTTAGTGCTTCAAGGAATACCATCAAGAACATGAAAAGACAACCCACAGAAGGGGGGAAATATTTGCAAATCACATATATGAGATCAGGGACTTGGATCTAGAATATATAAAAAAGATTACAATTGAGTAATTAAAAACAACAACAACAACAAAACACCAACCCAGAAGGTGCAGGTCCGAGAGGCCAGGCTCTGCGGTACCCTTTGTAGGAGCCCTAGCGGCAGCCATGCCTGCCTGTCCAGCCCGTTGCTTTACTGTTTAGCGGCTGCACAAACACAGTCCTTAGGCCCCAAAGAAAGTCTCCAGAGAATACAGAGGGCACAGGTGAATCCAAAGCAACGAAATCGTCTGCCAGATTGTCAGCGAAACCTGCACCACCAAAACCTGAGCCTAACCAAGAAAGCCATCTGCACACAAAGAACCGGGAATGAAGACTAACAAAGGTACTAAAAGGAAAGAGGGAGAGCACGAAGCCTGAAAGGAAGGTCCTGCGCCATCTGAAAATGGTGAAACCAAAGCAGAAGGTGCACAGAAAACAACCTGTAGATCACAAGGTAGAATGAATTGTGAAAAATTGGAGTTGATTTTATGTCCCACTTGGGACGACTTTGAAAAGCTATGTTTAGGGGCGCCTGGGTGGCTCAGTCGTTAAGCGTCTGCCTTCGGCTCAGGTCATGATCCCAGGGTCCTAGGATTGAGCCCCACGTCGGGCTCCCTGCCCCATGGGAAGCCTGCTTCTCCCTCTCCCATTCCCCCTGCTTGTGTTCCCTCTCTTGCTGTGTCTCTCTGTCAAATAAATAAATCTTTAAAAAAAAAAAAAAGAAAAGAAAAGCTATGTTTACCAAGGATTTTGTAATGCTAAGTTTTAGGACACTACTAGTTGGCATACAAAGATATATAATGATGGATATTGTACCTTTTTATAATCGTGCCTCTTGGAAATTTCCATCATCCTCAAGTAAAATAAATTTCAATTTGATATTGGAAGCTGTGTGCAAAATTGATGCAATGTTCCATGCACCTGATTTAAAAATTGAGACCTGTGCATACTGTGGTATTTCTACTGTGCGTATTTGAATTTTTCACACAGTTTTTCCAGAGCAGTAATCAGTGGTGCTTTTTAATCTAGATTTCATGTAATTTTAATGAAACATGGATAGTTGTGGCCATCTGCTGACTATTTGTGGTTTAAAATAAAAGGTTTTCTTGCCTGCAAAAAGAAACAAATAAATAACCCAATTAAAAAAAATGGGCAAAGGATTTAACTAAATATTTTCCCAAAGAGGATGGAAAATAAATGAATAGATAAATAAACAATAAACACAAGAAAAGTTTCTTTTTTTTAAAGATTTTATTTATTTGTCAGAGAAAGAGAGAGAGGGGGCGGCAGGCAGAGGGAGAAGCAGGCTCCCTGCTGAGCATGGAGCCCCTTGTGGGACTTGATCCCAGGACCCTGGAATCATGACCTGAGCCAAAAGCAGATGCTTAACTGACTGAGCCACCCAGGCATCCCCCAAGAAAAGATTCTTGATATCATTAGTTATCAAGGAGATGCAAACCAAAACCACAATGAAATACATCTTAACCTTAAGGATGGTCATAATAAAAAAGTCAGACATCCAGATGGCTAACAGACACATGAAAAGATGCTCAACATCATTCGGCATCAAGGAAATACAAATCAAAACCACGATGAGATACTACCTCACACATGTCAGATGGTAAAAATTAACAACACAGGAAACAATGGATGTTGGTGATGGTACAGAGAAAGGGGACACTGTTGGTGGGAATGCAAACTGGTGCAGCCACTCTGGAAAACAGTATGGAGGTTCCTCAAAAAGTTAAAAATAGAACTGCCCTAGGATCCAACTATTGCACTACTAGGTATTTATCCAAAGGATACAAAAACACAGATTCAAAGGGGTACATGCAGCCTAATGTTTATAGCAGCATTATCAACAATAGCCAAACTATGGAAAAAGCCTAAGTGTCCATTGACTGATGAATGGATAAAGAAGATGTGGTATGTATGAATATATATATATATATATACATATAATGGAATATATATAATGGAATATATATATAATGGAATATATATAGTTAGATAGATATAATGGAATATTACCCAGCTATCAAAAAGAATGAAATCTTGCCATTTGCAGTGACGTGGATGGAGCTGGAGTGTATTATGTTAAGTGAAATAAGTCAGTCAGAAAAGACAAATACCATATGATTTCACTCATATGTGGAATTTAAGAAACAAAACAGATGAACATATGGGAAGGGGGACAAAAAAGTGTGTGGGGGGAAACAAACCATAAGAGACTCTTAACAATAGAGAACAAATTGAAGGTTGCTGGAGGGGAGGTGGGTGGGGGATGGGCTAAATAGGTGATGGGTTTTAAGGAGGGCACTTGTGATGAGCACTGGGTGTTGTATGTAAGTGATGAATCACTGAAATCTACTCCTGAAACCAGAAATACCCTATATGTTAACTAACTAGAATTTAAATTACAATTTGGAAGGAAAAAAAAGTCAGAAACAAATGCTGGGGAGGATGTGTAGAAATCAGAATCCTAAAAGATTGCTGGTTGGAATGCGAAATGATACAACTGCTTTGAAAAACAGCTTAGTTCCTCACAGTTAAACAGAGTTATCACGTGACTTAGCAATTCCTCTTCTAGGTATCTACCCAGGAGAAATTGAAATGTATGTTTATGCAAAAACAAGCAAAAATGTTCATGGCAGCATTATTCATAATAGCTAAAATGTACAAACAACCCAAATGTCCATCAACTGATGGATAGATAAACAAAATGTGGTATATCCATACAATGCAATATTATTCGGCCATAAAAAGGAATGAAGTACTGATACATGCTAAAACACGGATGAAGCTTTAAAACATTATGCTACATGGGAAAAGTCACAAAAGATTGCATACTACATAATTCCATTTATTTTTTTAAAGTTTTTAAAAAATTTATTTAAGTAATCTCTACACCCAACATGGGGCTCGAACTCACAACCCCAAGATCAAGAGTCTCATGCTCTTCCGAATGAGCCAGTCAGGCACCCCATGTATTCCATTTATATAAAATGTTCACAATAGGTAAATCTATAGAGTTAGAAAGTAGATTTGTGGTTGCTTAGGACTATGGGGTGATAGCTAAAAGGTACAGGACTTTTTTTTTTGAGATGATGGAAATATTCTAAAATGGATTGTAGTGACAGGTTGTATATATCTATGAATATTCTAAAAAACCATAGAATTGTATATTCTTTTTTTAAGATTTTATTTACTTATTTGACTGAGAGAAAGAGAGAGAGAGAGAGCACACAGCAGGGGGGGAGCGGGAGAGGGAGAAGCAGACTCCCCGCTGAGCAGGGAGCCCGATGTGGGACTCAATCCTAGGACCCTGGGATCATGACCTGAGCCAAAGGCAGATGCTTAACCGACTGAGTCACCTAGATGCCCCTGAATTGTATATTCTAAATGAGTGAGCTACATGATAAGTGAATTATATCTCACGGAGATGTTATTTTTTAAAATGCCATATATATTAGGAATCTTTAAAAAATTTTTTTTAAAGATTTCATTTATTCATTTGACAGAGAGAGAGCACAAGCAGGGGGGAGGGGCAGAGGGAGCGGGAGAAGTGGGCTCCCCGCTGAGCAGGAAGCCAGATTCGGGGCTCGATCCCAGGACCCTGGGTTCACAACCTGAGCCAAAGGCAGACACTCAGACACTGAGCCACCTAGGCACCCCAGGAATCTTTTAATTGAAAGGAAAAATGCCAAAATGCCAACAGTGGGTAGCTCAAGGTGGTAAGATTACAGATTATTTTCTTTTGTGATTTTTCCTATTTGAAGGAGAAAAAAGTGTTTTCCTGAGAACAAAGAGACCAATAATCAAATGCGATGAGTGAACATTGATCAGATCCTGGATCCCTCCCCATCCCTCCCAAATGCAGATGTAAAATACATTTGGGGAAAATTGGGAGAAATATGAGTATGGACTGGACATTAGATGATAGTTTGAAATC